ATACCAAGAAAATCTGCATGAAGTATATTCATTATACTTCAATGATTAAATAAACCACAAAGAACAACTACCATTTAAAAATTTTTTTTAAATGTTATTAATTTTGAGAGAGGGAGAGAGAGAGAGAGAGAGCAAGCAGGGGAGGGGCAGAGAGCAAGGAAGACACAGAATCCCAAACAGGCTCCAGGCTCCGAGCTGTCAGCACAGAGCCCGATGCGGGGCTCGAACTCACGGACGTTGAGATCATAACCTGAGATGAAGTTGGATGCTTAACCGACTGAGCCACCCAGACGCCCCCAAGCTTAATTATTTGTAATTATACTTAATATAATTCCTTATAAAATATAGATATTTAAAGAATAAAATCAGCACAATTTATATGTGGATTCCCTGAAGCCCCTTGTTCTGTGAAACAGGCTGGTGACCACTGATTGTGCCCCTGACTTATTCAGACCACAGGGGCACCCAGCGGGGGATGGGGTACATGGTGTTCTAGGAGGGCACCTCCAGATTGTAAACTGATGATCTGAACGTGAAGCAGCCTGCCTGCCTGCCCATTTGCTTTGCTGAGATGACAGTACTTTGGACCCTGGCCAGCCGTGCCAGGTGACCATTAGTCCCCAGCCCAGGGTGTGTAGGGTGGCATTTGAAGCCACGGTGAATGCCTGTGTGTCAGTGGTGGGCCACATCCCGCAAAGGGCTTTGACCTGGCTGGCGGGCAAGTGTGAGTCGGTGCAGCCCCGTGTGCTGAGCTGGCTCACGTCCCTTTGCTTTTATTTTCGTTGCAGTTCCTTGGCAACTTTGGAAGATTTAGACTGGCTGCCACTCGACCACAGGTTTTCCACCATTTCTGAAATCGCGCTGAATGTGACTGTTTCGATGCTGACGTTTCTGCAGGAGCAGGGAGCGGCCACCCCTGGTAGGTGGGCCCGAGAGCTCGTGGGAAAATTCATTTCCCTAGTGAACTTCGTCGATAGCCAGCACAGAGCGGAGATGCTGTTCAAGAAATGACTTAATGAAAATGTCAAATACCAAATGATCCCATTGTTTCTGTTAATAAAAGGGAGAAGGAGACTGGAAATTTGGAACTCCGAACTGCATTTGACTTTCCACTGTTGAAATTCTGTGGCCGTTGCTAATACATGGGCTAGTTTTGATTAGGAAATAGGTGATCTTAAGATTCTTTTTAAAAAGATGTTTATTTATTTTGAGAGAGAGCAAGTGAGCGACTGGGCGAGAGGGAGAGAGAGGGGGAGAATCCCAAGCAGGCTCCAGGCTCAGTGCGGAGTCCACATAGGGCTTGATCCCTCAAAATCACGACTTGAAATCAAGAGTCGGACGCTCAACTGACGAGCCACGCAGGTGCCCCTAAAATTCTTTTCTTTGACGTCCTCTAAGGTTAGATCTATCCTTCGTTCTGCGATTTGAATCTTTCCTCTCTCCTCTGCTCCTATTTGGGAGAAATATTTGAAAAATAGTGAGGCTGGCGAGAAGAGGCAGGGGGATGTGGATTTGGAAAGCCCACGAGCTGAATGAACAAACGCCTTCTGCAGGGGAAGGGATGGAATTACTTGGCTCTATTCTTGACCCACGATATTCTTTCTTTCTTTTTTTCATTGAGTGTTTATTACACTTAGGGGCGTCTGGGTGGCTCAGTCTGTCGAGCATCTCGATTTCAGCTCGGGTCACGATCCCAGGATCATGGGATCCAGCCCGCGTCGGGCTCTGTTTGGGGTCCTCTCTCTCTCTCTCTCTCTCTCTCTCTCTCTTTCTCTCTCCCTCTCTCTCTCTCTCTCTCCTGTCTCTCCCTCTCTCCTCTCTCTGTCTCCTCTCTCTCGTCGCTCTCTTTGCCCCTCCCCTACTAGCACGTGTGTGCTCTTTCTCTCTCTCTTTCAAAAAGAAGTTTTTATTAGAAAAAGAGTATTTAGTTTATGTTGACAAATAAAATCGTGTGTGTTTAAAGTGTACAGTGTGACAGTTTGAGACACGTGTACGTCGTGTAGTTAGTACCACAATGGCATTAGCGAGCCCATCTATCACCTCCCATAGTTAGTTACCTTTTCTTTGGTGATAACACTTACGATCTCTTAGCAAATTGCAAGTATACGATACACTGTTATTGATTAGAGTCATCTGGCTATACATTAGGTCTCCAGAACTTACTCATCTTATAACTAAAAGTTTGCACCCTTTGACTGGTATCTCCCCATTTCCCCACCTCCCAGTGCCATAGGCACTATTCTACTCTGGCGTATTACTTCCTGAATTGCCAACTGGACCTGAATATTTTACTTTTAGTTATCTTTCTCTCTTTCTCTACTTCTGTTTCTGTAAGGGAGATTAGATTCATGGAGCAAACTGTAGAGTTATAATTTGTACATTCATCTATCTGTCATTCCTGTACCCATCCACACATTCATCCATTCACCCACCTGTCCACCAGGTGGATACCCAACCATCTATCCACACATCCATCCATCCATCCATCCATCCATCCATCCATCCATCCACTCATTCTCTCCTACAGTAAATGCTTATGGAGTATGTTCTATGAACCAAACACCATTCCATGAATGGGAATAAAAACCTGGATAATACATGGTTCTTGCAACAGGGAAGTCATGTTTAGTATAGGAGACAGATGTGCCAATGAAGAAAAAGCAAAACCCAGAGTAGGGATCTGCATCTTTCTCAGGAAAAGCATCAAGGAGACGTTTTGAAGGATGAGTTCTACTTCACCAAAGACATGAGGAAGCATGGCCATGAAGAATTGTATGTGAAGCTCCCCGTGTATTTGATGTTCAGTGTTTCTGGGGTCGTGGGTGATGGTAGGAGGCGATCCAGAAAGAGACCCCGGGCCAGATCACAGAAGAACGCTGGATCAGCAGATATGCTTTGTGGAGAGATATTCCTGGCACAGATATGAGAGCTACGTTGGGGGCAGGCAGGCCTGGGGCCAGGAGCCCAGGTTCCTGTTCTCTGTCTGCCCCTAACTCTTGAAGTCTATCTCTTGACCTATGTAATGAGGTGGTTACACACAGATTTCTAGCCCTTCCAGACTTCTCTGGCTCCTTGGAACAACCCAACATGACGCCCTCCATCACCCCAGTCACACCCAGGTTTTTACCTGTTGCTGGTGACTCAGCGTAGGGAGACCCCTGCCCCCACGGAGAGCTTCTCTGCAGCTCTGCAGAGTAATTCTGACACATTCTGAGAGCAGGAGAGATTAGTGGTTACAGCTCAGGGCTGGGGATCAGATCTGGGTTTGAGTCGTGACTAAATCGAGCAGTGTGACCTTGCGTGGCTCTGGATGTCTGCTTCCTTACGCCCCCAAAGAGGATAATATTACTGCACCTGCCTGGTGTGCTGTGTACAACTCACCTGGAGATGAAAGTGCCCTCGATACGTAACAAATGCTAGCTTAAAAATCTCAGAACCAGACCGTGACCCCTTTTATGCAAGGACAGCCAGACGGAGAGTGAGGAGTCTTGGATTCCTGGGGTCTGTCTTTTTTCAACACCTTCCTAAAGTTCCCCGTGGCTGGGCCTGTTTTGTAGGCGGCAGGACTAGGCCTTTTCCGTTGACCCACAGCGTCAACTTAAGGGCACCGAGAGGTCACGCACCTGAGAATGGTTTTGTGGTCCTTTGCACGTGTGGACACTGAGCAGATGCGTGTTGATCGCGGTCTGAAGTCGTCTCG